TATTGACAGGATAGCATCTTGCAGTCGATGGAGATTTGTGGGATGCACATCCAGGGCACGAAGCTCCCGTTCCACCACATCCCAAAGATGCTCTATTGGGTTGAGATCTGGTGACTGTGGGGGCCATTTTAGTACAGTCAACTCAATGTCATGTTCAAGAAACCAATTTGAAATGATTCGAGCTTTGTGACATGGTGCATTATCCTGCTGGAAGTAGCCATCAGAGGATGGGGACATGGTGGCCATAAAGGGATGGACATGGTCAGAAACAATGCTCAGGTAGACCGTGGCATTTAAACGATGCCCAATTGGCACTAAGTGTGCCAAGAAAACATCCCCCACACCATTACACCACCACCAGCAGCCTGCACAGTGGTAACAAGGCATGATGGATCCATGTTCTCATTCTGTTTACGCCAAATTCTGACTCTACCATCTGAATGTCTCAACAGAAATCGAGACTCATCAGACCAGGCAACATTTTTCCAGTCTTCAACTGTCCAATTTTGGTGAGCTCTTGCAAATTGTAGCCTCTTTTTCCTATTTGTAGTGGAGATGAGTGGTACCCGGTGGGGTCTTCTGCTGTTGTAGCCCATCCGCCTCAAGGTTGTGCGTTTTCACAAATGCTTTGCTGCATACCTCGGTTGTAACGAGTGGTCATTTCAGTCAAAGTTGCTCTTCTATCAGCTTGAATCAGTCGGCCTATTCTCCTCTGACCTCTAGCATCAACAAGGCATTTTCGCCCACAGGACTGCTGCATACTGTCTGTTTTTCCCTTTTCACACCATTCTTTGTAAACCCTAGAAATGGTTGTGCGTGAAAATCCCAGTAACCAAGCAGATTGTGAAATACTAAGACCGGCCTGTCTGGCACCAACAACCATGCCACGCAACTGAAGCAACTGCCATGTGATTGGTTGATTAGATAATTGCATTAATGAGAAATTACACAGGTGTTCCTAATAATCCTTTAGGTGAGTGTAGTTTGTTGTAACAAATGTTGTATCAAACGTTTGGGGTCAGTACGATTTTTTTTTAAATAAAAAAGGAAAAACTTAAATTCATCCTGAATCCTGAAAAAAGTGTATCACGTCTCTACTAAAAAAAAAATTAAGCAGCATTTTTTGTTTTGTTTTTTTCAATTATTAAAGACGGCTTTTTAAATGACTCTTTCTCTGCCTACACGTGACTAGCCTGGCTCCGCCCTCCTACCTACTTCCGCTCAATTTTTATTTTCCTTCAGTACTACATCTGGGCTTGTGGTGTATTCTTTGGTTTTCTCCAGTCAATTTTTTACCAGTCCAATCAGCGAACAGAGGGAGTGGCTGAGAACGATGACGTTGATGTCATGCGCTAGTCTGAGACCTGAGACCATCATACGTCTCGACCAAACGTTAGCGATTGGTTATGGCAGTAGTTTTAAACTTCAACAGAAGACCCACCTACAAGAAAATTAACACTTGTCAATGGAGCGAGGCCAGACTCTCTGTACAAATGAAATTATGTTGGGATCAGGCTAGCACGTGACAGAATAAGCAACCGAAATGGATCTAACAGCAGTGCGAATCCATCTCTTCATCCAAGGGGATCATTGTGTGATTTTTTTTTTTTTTTTTAGATCTGGCGCATGTCGCTCACAATGATTTCCTCTCTGTGTATTTTTTCATGCTGGCCTCAATGCACCGACAAAGGCATGCCGGTCTGCTCCTCTAGGGAACTCCTGGAGTTGAGCACTCCTTCAGCGTGGATACCCACAGTGGGTGAGAATGTTATTTGTCGCATTTACCACTAACCAGGAGTTAGTTCGCGCCCTTAAACCCACCCACCCAGTTCTTCCTCCACCTCCGCCGGTCCCATCTAGATTATTAGACTGATCCAGTTCCTTGGCACTTCCTCCTCCTCTGGTTCTGTCAAGTGCCCTAGCCCTTCCTACTCCATTTCCCTGGCTCCTTCTCATCCTCCTGCTCTGCCGGCTCTCATCAATCCTCCGGCTCTATCTGTGTGACCGCATTCTCTGTATTCACCATGATCCTGGGAGTTGAGGCATCAGAGCAGTTGCAACCCATGGCTCCCCCTTGGCCCTCTGATCCTGCCTGAGGATGGCTCATCGATACCTCAGGTCCACCAAGCTCTCTCGTCCCTCCGACTCCGCCCTGCTCCGTCGTCCCTCTGGCTCCACCAAGCTCTCTCGTCCCTCCTACTCCACCCTGCTCCGTCGTCCCTCTGGCTCCACCAAGCTCTCTCGTCCCTCCAACTCCGCCCTGCTCCGTCGTCTCTCTGGCTGCACCAAGCTCTCTCATCCCTCCGACTCCACCCTGCTCCGTCGTCCCTCTGGCTCCACCAAGCTCTCTCATCCTTCTGACTCCACCCTGCTCCGTCGTCCCTCTGGCTCCACCAAGCTCTCTCGTCCCTCCGACTCCGCCCTGCTCCGTCGTCCCTCTGGCTCCACAAAGCTCTCTCGTCCCTCCGACTCCGCCCTGCTCCGTCGTCCCTTTGGCTCCACCAAGCTCTCTCGTCCCTCCAACTCTGGCTCCACTATGGTCTTTTGGGCTTCAACTCAGCTTGGGCCCTCCACCCCTTCGGCTCAACCAGGTTCCTCTATACCTTTGGCTCCACCGTTGTCCTGACTCACATTGGCTCCAGCTCGGTCATCTACTCTAGCCTGCCTGCACATAAGAGGTATTCTATGTATTTCTGTATTTGTTTTTACCCTTTTGATATCATTGTTTTATAGAATACTGTATATTTATTACAAACAGGATTGTTTTTGCAACCCCGTCACTTTTTAAACCATGTCACAATTCCTTATACCAGGGGTGTCCAGATCCTGCTCCTAGAGCACCACTATTCATCCTCAAAGCTCTTTTAGAAAATTTCTGAATTTTCATAATTGCGTAATTCTGGCATGGCATAAACTCAAAGCTTAAGCTCAAATCTTAATTAAATACATCTGAACCAGCTAATCAATGTCTTCATGATTACAAGCAGAAGCTCCCAGACCAGCTGGAGCAGGTTGGAGCTGAGCTCTACAGGACATTGACCCCCCAGGAACATTGTATTATTAAGTTGGCGAAGCCTATTTTTATTTGTCACATGCTGAGTGTACACTTTGTAGCCCTGCAAGAGAAATTGGAACAAATGTGTTGAGTTTGATACCACAAGCTTCAAGGAAGAACTTTTGTCCCCCAGCAAAGCCACTGTTGGTCTGGATTTGTCGGTACGCATTCACTGTGATGAAACCCTTGAAGTGTATTTAGGAAGACAGGGCTGTTCACTTTGGGAAGCAAAACAAGGCTTCAAGTGTTCTGCTGTTAGCTTGAATTCACATGGTGGACATTCTCTGAGCTTCTCCCACTTCCACTGATTTTGCACATACACGATAGATCTCAAATGTAAAGCTTTTCTGCATATCCTACTCAACTCATCGTTTTTTAAGAGGCATAAATCTGCTAATTAGGTTGGCCTTAATTACGCTAACAGCACCATGTCAAGGGCTCCTGTCTCCGATTCCCTTTGATAGCCAGTCACTTAATACAGTGGCACCTAACTGACTTTGGAAGCACTTAAATGCCCTGTTGTAAGGATGCACTAGAGTAGATTGCATTTCAATCACAGAGAAGACATGTTAAGTTATTCATCAGCATTGCAGCGAATTGCTCGGCACAAAGTAGGCTGCAATTGTTTCAAAGTACTGTGACTGATTCCAAAAGGGTTCATTCAGCTGAGGTCAATTACATAAAGACTGAATCATTGTTCGGAGGCGAAAACCTTTATGTGGTGGCTGGGCTCTAATGTGCATGAATAAATATTTATGCTCATGATTAGATGCTTTCATTTACATGACTGCAGCCAGTGCCAGGTATAACACAAATGTGTTTCTGAGACACACTTTAACGTTCACTGTACAGAATAATTGTATGCAATTCTGATATCATGAATGTATTTTATTTTAATCCTTTGTTTAGAATTTAAAAAGTTTTTTTTACGTTTTTTTTTTTTTTTTAGAAATGGGTATGAGCTTGTTTTCGTCCCAGAATAAAAAAAATAATAATAATTGTGACTTTTTATCTCACAATTATGACTTCGCAATTGTGTTATAAAATCAGAATGGCATTGTATAAACTCGAAATTGCGTGAGTTAAAGGGTTAGTTCACCCAAAAATGAAATTTCTGTCAGTATTTACTCACCCTCATGTCGTCCCAACCCCGTAAGACCTTCGTTAATCTTCGGAACACAAATTAAGATATTTTTCTTGAAATCTGAGAGCTGGATCACTCCTGCATACTAGTCCATAGGCTTCTTGAGGGATAGAAACCTGCCGGCCTCGAAAAGTTATTAAAGACATCGTTAAAATATTCCAAGTGACTTTAGTGGCTCAATTTTTGTGCGTAAAAACAAAGAAAAATAACGACTTTATTTCAACTATTCACTTCCTTCTCTATGGGCCTCTAGTCAGTTAACGTAGTGTGACAGCATAGAGCTACGTCACACGTAGGCTCACTAACCTGACTCGAGGCAGAGAGACAAGTAAACGAATACTTGAAATAAAGTCGTTATTTTTGTTGTATTTTGCGCACAAAAATTGTTCTCGTCGTTTGATAAACTTAAGATTGAGCCACTGAAGTCACTTGGAATATTTTAACGATGTCTTTAATAACTTTTTGTTGCCGGCAAGTTTCAATCCCTCAAGAACCCTATGAACTAGTGTATGGAGGAGTGATCCTGCTCTCAGATTTCATCAAAAATATCTTAATTTGAGTTCGGAAGATGAACGAAGGTCTTACGGGTTGGAACAACATGAGGGTGAGTAAATACTGACAGAATTTTCATTTTTGGGTGAACTAACCCTTTAAAGTCACAAAAAGTCGCAATTATCTTTTAAAATGTTTTATTCTGTGGTGGAAAACAAGCTTCCATAAATGACTGCATATTAAAATGGAATATAGGAAAAAAATGACACTTCATCATTAATTGCAAAAAGAGCGATTATGAATACAATGAAGGTTTGTAGAAGAATACCACATTTATTATCAAACATCGTCTCAAATACCGCATTGCAAAACCATTTCCTCGGAACAGAGAGAGGAAATCAAGACATCCTCTGTAATAAATGCCAAAACAATAGGAGAGCGGCAGAGAGAAGAGAAACAGACTTCAGAAGCAATGATGCAGAAGTCTTTGAAAGACAAACAGAGGCCTCTGTAAATCACCCCAGAGAAACAGTCTGCTTGACCCTGACATCAATCCACCACTTGTGAATGGCAAATGAACACCTCAGTAACACAAGCAGGTCTAGGAAAGATAACACTGGTCTGGCGACCCAAACAAAAACAAAAGGGCTATGTTATCGCCCTCTCATATCACGACAGCTTTGTGTGACTTACTGAGGGTGTCCCTAATTTATTCAGCAGTTGCCATCCATGAGCGACGAGCTGCCAGAAAAACATGAAGAGAGACCGAAATTTGCACATTTCCCTTATTTGAACCCTCAACCATCTGAGAGGACGTTGTTGTTTTGTTGGCATACTTGACAGTATAACGCTCATTTTATTTCGGAAAAAATGCTAATATAAATACTGATATACTTTATTGTGTAAAATATGAATCTATAAATAATTGATTCAATATTCCAGCTGAATCAGATTGAACACCAGTCAAATAAAAATAATGCAAAATACAAAGAACAAACTAACATGCATTGTCAGTATGGCTGTGTGATGTGTGCATGCAGATGACATCACCGCAAGTCAGTGAATCTTTTTCTTCAGCAATATAACTTCTTTAAGAGTAGCAAAAAGGTCAGATTGAATTTCTGGCTTCTCTCTGAACAGAAAGCTGGTCTAAAACAGCAGCATTTAAACAGCATTTCTTTCAATCTGTGGTTGACCCTGAGGTCAAACAGTAGTGATTCGACGGACTGTCTTCTTTGCTCCATTGCAGTCCAAGTTAGAAACATCTTCCTCGTTCTGATTTCGAGAGCTGAATATGACAATATCAGGAACCTGTTGAGAAACAATATTTGGAGAATGAACCTTTTTTTTACTGACTAATGCAAAATACATTTTTAATAAAACTTGAAATTTACTTTAAAATTCTTGTTTTACTCTGGAATATCAGCTCATTCACAAGTTCCCATTCATAGGAAGTTTTTATGTTAACACTTTCTTGTGGTGGTCCAATTCTGTGGATTTTGAGTAACTTCCTGCAACTACAGTACATGTCAACTCTCATTAGAGTATCTCAGGAGACTCACTAGCCATGTTTCCATCGACACGTTTTTATCCGAATTAAGTGATATCGAATGAAAAATGCCTTATGGAAACAGTAAAATTCGATGAAATTTCATGAAAATCGACTCAAATGAAATACGTTCGGTCTCATCGAATTTTCTCTTGATCGATATACAGCTAATGCGATAAAAGCTGATGGAAACGTTATTTGCCGAATAAATAATGAATTGCGATTAAGTTTTATGCCCTTTCATGGTTGCAACACGTCAGAAGATGAGTTCAACCAAAGGGTTTCTGTGAACCACGATCTCCCAGAACTGATGGAGCGCTGTCATTCCCTAAACCACAGTCACCTCCGCTGTCGTCGGGCATTAACGGGCATCATCATAGCAATGTTTATAGCGTCGTTGTTTTCTTAGGTTAGTTTTGCTTGTTTTTACGTGGCTTGGTTGAATTGTAATGTAGAATGTGGTCTGTTATTTCTAGTTAACAGACTGCGGCGCTGCTAGAATAACACACCGTTGCCATGGACGCAGTTCAGAGACGGAACAGACTATTTTCTTTAGCAGAAGCAATACTCGTTTTTAAATCAATAAACTCGTTTTTAAGTCAATATTTTGTGTCAAATTATTTATTTATTTGGTTGATTTATATGTAGGCTAATAAGCAGGATAATATATAGCGAGGCGGTTGTTATAGCGAATCCCTTACGAAAAATAATTGCAGTACAATGAAGTACAACTGCAGTAAAACTGCAGTTTAAAGCAGTATAACTGCAGTACAATGAAGTACAACTGTAGAATTGCAGTATTAACGAAGTATAACTGCAGTATAGATACAATGTGACTGTAGTACATTGAAGTGCAACTGCAGTAAAACCACAGTACAAAAAGTACAACTTCAGAATAGTGAAGTAAAACTGCAGTACAACTGTAGATTTGCAGTATTAACAAAGTATAACTGCAGTATAGATACAATGTGACTGCAGTACAACTGTAGATTTGCCGTATTAATGAAGTATAACTGCAGTATAGATATAATGTGACTGCAGTACAACTGTAGATTTGCCGTATTAACGAAGTATAACTGCAGTATAGATATAATGTGACTGCAGTACAACAGTAGATTTGCAGTATTAACGAAGTATAACTGCAGTATAGATACAATGTGACTAGAGTACATTGAAGTGCAACTGCAGTAAAACAGCAGTACAAAAAGTACAACTTCAGAATAGTGAAGTAAAACTGCAGTACAACTGTAGATTTGCAGTATAATGAAGTAGTTGCAATTAATATCAGTTCAGTGATACACTTTAAAAAGTGATAGACTTTTTTTGATAGAGAAAACTAATCAATTTTTTTTATCTTTTTGTTTTTATTGGGCTCTCAGGCAATGATATCAGTTTTGCCATTAAAAAGGGAAATTACTGAACCTAAATAAAGGAGCAAAAAAAGACAGATGAAGTTTTTGTTTTTTGCATCTGAAGTCTTGGCCTACCAATATTAAACTGTACTGCAGTTCTGCTGTTTTGTGCGAGACATAGGCCTAGCCCATATGACGAGCTTCCTTCGCGCGCACGCGCCGCGGGCGTTGTCCTGACAACGAGTCTCGAGAGCAGCTGATGCTCATTACTGTCAGTCAGCGTCTTTCCGCGTAGTGTCTGCTCCATAAAATATGGTTTGGTTGATTTCCTCACTGAAATTATCGTTCATATAGGTTCATATTTATGAACTATCACAATTAAAACACAAAGACATGACAGCATTACTCGTGGTGACGACGGTCATTAACAAGTGGAATGGAAGAGAAGCGTTTTCTGGAAGCAAAAAAGAAGTTCATTGCGCGAGGCCTTGTCAAGTCATTCAGCTTAGAGGTGAGTAAATTATAACATATAATGTCCTCATATTTCTCTTTTTTTATTTTAGATTGGTGTAAAAAAGACTTTACGTATATGTTGTTCAACCCGGTGGGAAAATAAGAGGAAACGCCGCTTCTATTCTGTAATGTTAGTTTTACCATTCTCCGGTTTAACGTTACACTGTTTAACTGCGTCACAGCAGATTGTGTAACTTATGTTTGCCCTTTGCAGCATATTGTCTATCACTTTTAACACATTTTTTTTTTTAAACTATCTGTATTGTATGAAGTGCTATACACGGTGACTTTACTTGTTTAAATTTAATATCAGGAATATTAGAAATATCAGACACTAACTTACTGGAAAATACAAGCAAATTATGTTCAGTAGTTTGACATTATGTGTAGAAAAGATTTTTTTTTTTTTTTTTTTAAGTAGGCTAACTTACTTTTTTTGTGTGATTGCTATTTCCAGGAAAATGTACTGGTAACAACTAAAAACAGAAGACGATGGCTGGGGTGAAACAAATATGCACTCACAGACTTTAAAAATTGTGTGTCTCTGCTTTTTTCCAGAAATGCATGTTATTGGGCAAATTGTGTAGACTGTCAATGGAGTGACAGAAAGATTTCATCAAAAATATCTTCAGTTGTGTTCGCCGTGTCTTGCGGGGTTGGAATGACATGAGGGTGAGTAATTTAACTTTTTATCTGGAGTGTTCAAACTCATTATTAATGCTGAACAATAAACCATAAATTAACATAAATAGGATGTAATTCAATAAGATTAAATCTAATATGGATATGTCTAGATATAGAATAACATTTTGCTAAAGAAAACCTCAAAAAGGTTCATTATAGATAGAGTAAGATACAGTAAACACCTGTTCACTGGTCATTTTCCACAGCTGTATGCAAAGGCAAGTGGGCTTCTCCTGGGAGACTAAATTAATCACCTAGTTTAGTGCTGTCTACTGTTTTAGAAGAGGAAGTTGCTCAACTGCATTTGTGAGAAAATTGAGCCGAGATCTCTTATATAAAGCCAAGTGTTAGGGACGCACGATGACATCAGCACGACATCGGTATCAGCCGATAAAAGCTTAATGATCATCGGTATCGGCCGATAGTAATTATCTCTGCCGATGAGCCTTGCCAATATGTGGTGGATATACTATGCGCACGTGACGACCGTGAACGTAGCATGAGCGCCAGCAACTTAAATGTCCAGCTGTGTGGAGGAAAAGGTGCGCTTCAGTATCGAGTTCTTTTTCAGGCTTGAACAAACCATAACACACACACAATATGTGCCAAAATGTCAGTTTTGTCGAGTGTCCTCATTAGAGCAGTTTTAAAGGTCCCCTGACATTTTTTTTTTATTATTATTTTATAATGTTTCCTGGGTTGGCCTTATGTTAGTATGTTTTTTAGATCAAAAATAGTCATAATTTCATAATTTCAAATGACTCAGAGCCGGTGTTGTGCCTATTTTCCACCCTCCGCCAGCGGAGCGCTGATGAGGGGGCGATCACATTAACACATGTCACCACTCACCACTCTTTTGCCATGTTCAATATTCTCCCCAACACTTTTTAAAACATCTTCGTGGCAAGGATGTACCAATACAAAATAATAAAACATCTCCAGTTAACTTTCAGACCATTCAATTTGTTTGTTTGTCAAATTAGAGTCCATCTAGCTCTGAAATGTGTTGTTTTTTTAAATCAAGTGATCACTTTTTGGCAGGTAAAATACTGCATTATAATGGTTGTATTGGCCCTTTACAGGTATTTTAATAGGTCAAAAGTACTGGGTGAGTAATAATCAGTCAGATTTAACCTCATTAATATAAGCAACACATTTCAGGGCAGAAATAACCTTTCAATCAATAAGTAGAGGCTTCAATCACTGAAGGTTGGTTGTAATAATGGTTGTACTGGGTGAGTGATGTTTATTTGCACGTTATGTCTGCTTGATCCACATAAAAGCAACTGCATTCGTAAAGTGAATGGGCGATACACCTGTAACACGCGGCGCGCGCTCCCGCGGCCGGCCATCAATCTTCGGCGGACCATTACTTTTCGGCTACGAGTCATTTGAAATACAATAAACGTACAAATAAATATTACAGATTAAAAAACGATCGGAAATGTCGTCCAATTTTCTAATACTATTGTTTGATGACAACAATACATTTGGAAAACAAAATACAGCCATTTCTGATTTTTTTCTTTTAAACAAAAAACCAAGTTGCACCCTTTTTTAAATGTCATCTTTCATTCCGAAATAGAATAATGAATGAACGAAAAAGTACACGGGCCGTGCGTGTATTTTTTTATATATATATATTATTATATGGGGGGAAATGTGTATAAATATCGGTATCAGCCAAAATGAGTTTGCAAATATCGGCATATCAACGCATTCTCACCCCAAGGCGTCACCTTTGAACATGCTTCAATATTTGACGTTTTAGGCGCCCTTTAGCGTCACTTACATGACGCGATCCTACGGCGTCATCTAACTGACGCTAAAGGAAAGCGTCTGTTAGAGGACGCGGTTAGGTTTAGGTGTGGGGTGGGGGTAGGGTACACGCGATCCTAGGGCGTCATCTAACTGACGCTAAAGGGCGCCTAAAGCGTCAGATATTGAAGCATGTCCCAAATGCTTCCCAAGGCGTCAGTTAAGTGACGCCTTGGGGGTGAGAATGGGCTGGGCATATCGAATATCGGCCAAAATCCAATAATTTGCGTCCCTACCAAGTGTCTCACACTGCATTTTCGCTCAAATTGACCTTTTCACTTGCGCATTGCTTGCTTTGTTTATGAGTCGAGTTTTCCTTTAAAAAGCAGATTGAGTTTGTTTGCAAATGCTGGATTTGTTTGTTTAATTATGGCACAATATTAATTCCATTGAATAACTCCTATTTCAAAAAACAGTGGCGTGTTCCTGCATTAACTTGCAGATTCATTTTAAGCATGATATATGCCTGTGGTGAAGAGTAACTGAAAAGATTGTCTCTGATTCTTTTTGTTTGTTTATTACAGACTACTTCCAAAATTGTGTTTCCACATCTGAGATGAAGGCAGTGAAAAGAACGAAGTGGAATAAGAATAAGCTCTTCAAAAAACACAACTTCTCTGAATAATGTGGGGGAAGATGTTTGCATGATTTGTAAATAAACACTTTAAATACATTGTCTAACTCTCAGCCTGTTATTTGAAATAAAATAAAAAGAAAAATCACGTTATTTGTTGCATTGCAGTTTGAGACATTCACTGTTTTGTACCTTAATTCATTATTGCAGATGTGTGAACTTATTTGGGATATTCTGGTTGTATTCCAATGGTATTGTACAGCATTTTATTTGTATTGCATTTCAGTAGTATTGTACTTTAGAAAAATTATGTATTGCAGTGCTTCCGCAGCTATATTGCAGTATTATTGCAGTACTACCGCAGTTATATTGTAGTACTACTGCACTTATATTGCAGATCTACCGCAGTTATATTGCAGTATTATTGTAGTACTACTGCAGTTATATTGCAATATTATTGTAGTACTACTGCAGTTATATTGCAATATTATTGTAGTACTACTGCAGTTATATTGCAGTATTATTGTAGTACTACTGCAGTTATATTGCAGTATTATTGTAGTACTACTGCAGTTATAATGCAGTATTATTGTAGTACTACTGCAGTTATATTGCAGTATTATTGTAGTACTACTGCAGTTATATTGCAGTATTACCGCAGTTATATTGCAATATTATTGGAGTACTACTGCAGTTATATTGCAATATTATTAAAGTACTTCTGCAGTTATATTGCAGTATTACTGCAGTTATATTGCAATATTATTGGAGTACTACCACAGTTATATTGCAATATTATTGTAGTACTACTGCAGTTATATTGCAATATTATTGGAGTACTACTGCAGTTATATTGCAGTATTACCACAGTTATATTGCAGTATTATTGTAATACTACCGCAGTTATATTGCAGTATTATTGTAATACTACCGCAGTTATGTTGCAGTTCTACTGCAGTTGTACTCCAACTACTGTATACTGCAATAATGCAGTTTTTTCGTGTCCAAAAAACTGCATTTTCTACATGCAGTATTACTTCTAAAAAAACTGCAGTAATTTTTTGTAAGGGATACAACCAACAACCGCCTCGCATACATTATCCCATTCATATGTCGCTATCAGCTGGCACATAAGCATTATTAGACTTCAACTTGTGAAATATTGATCATTTTTGGTAGCTGGCGCGATCCGTTTTGTCTAACAAAACTTTGTTCGCAAAAGTTTGCTTGAATGTTGTTCGATTGAGTGCGAAAATAAATGGAAACACCTTAAAATGTCTCAAATCAATTCGATATACCAATTTGATCGCAAAACAGCATATGACGTCATTACGTACAGGTTTTTATTCGCTTTAAAGCCGTTGGATGGAAACACACTTTCACCAGCTTTATCCGCATGAGTTTTTTAACCGAACTTCAGATAATTCGATTGACAAGTGGATGGAAACATGGCTACTGTCTGCTTAATATCTGCTAACTCTTTATTGTGATGATCCTCCAACAGACACTCTACTGACTATAAGTAACTTTGCAGCTACTTATTGTACTAACCCTAACTGTCTCTACTACAGTCTCTGTATACTCTATACTCTACAAACCGTGTTTTTGAGACTGTCTTTGCTCACTGCGGATTGCTCCTGTCTGCCTTGCTGCTGTTTGTGTGTGAAGCGTTTGTAGCTTCGTAGGCCTATAGCTTTGTATATCTTTCTGTTTTGAATCATTATTTACTATCATTCCCTGTTGTTTATACTGCTAAATATAACTCACTCAACAGCACATATTAACCTGACATTGTTAGCTTCAATCCAAATCGTTGCTAGCACAACAAGCTACTATTTCGCTAGCCTGTTAGCATGCCATGTGTGAGCTCTTTATTTATTTAGCTTGCTAGCTAAAGGTTCCTTTATTAATAATCTTCCTGATCAGTTTCATCATCTCGACAGAAACGTTTAACTCTCTCTTTTCCAGCACTTTAGACACAGTTGCTCTGTTGCACTTAAAGAAGATTAAAGAAAATAGTCCAACACAGCAGCCAGAAAAATGGAGCGAAACTGGAAGAAAACAAAACTAGAGGTATTTCGGATTTCATGGAAGGAGAGCTCGATCGCATACAGAGAGGCCTTGAAAGCTGCTAGATCTGCTTATTTTTCAACCCGATTTGAAGAAAACAAACAAAACCCAAGGTATATTTGAAAAAGTGGCTAAACTAACGAAAAATAGAGCTTCAAGCCCAGACGTTTCCAAGCAGCACAGCAGTAATGACTTTCTTCACTTATAAGATTGATAATATCAGGGAGAAAATTATAAATATGCAACAGTCTACTACAGTATCGCATCAGGGGATGCATTGTAGTCTCCCCAAAGAAAAAATTTATTCATTCATTGCTATAGAAGAGGCAGAATTTTCTCGTTAAATCATCTAAATCGACAACATGTATGCTAGACCCTAAACTCTTGAAAGAGATGCTTCCAGATATCATAGATCTTCTTCTCAATATTATTAATTCGTCTTTTGATACGTACCAAAAACTTTTAAGCTGGCTATGATTAAACCACTTGTTAAAAAAACGCAACTTGATCGTATAGAAATAGTCAAACAGGCCGATCTCGAAACTACCTTTTCTGTCAAAGATAAGAGTCACCAATGATTTGCTCTTATCATCCGATCATGGCTGTATCTCTCTATTAGTGTTATCGATCTTAGTGCTGCATTTGACCAAAATAGACTCGAAAATGATGTTGGCATTAGTGGAATTGCACTACCATGGTTTAAATCATATCTGACCCTTATCAGATTGTAGCAGTAAATGAAGTTCAGTATGGCGTACCACAAGGCTCAGTACTAGGACCGTTGCTGTTCACTCTGTACATGCTACCCTGGCATTAATTTTCACTGTTATGCTGATGATACTCAGCTCTATATTTCTTTACGCCCTGAGGAAATTTACCAATTCGCAAAATTAATGGAATGCATAGCTGATATAAAAAAAATGGATGACTAGTAATTTCCTACTACTAAATTCTGAAAAAAAAAAAAAAAAAAAAAAAACTTCCTCATGTAATAACCTAGAATCCTGTCTGACACTTGATGGCTGCTCTGTTAAGTCTTCGTCGTTGGTTAAGAACCTGGGTGTGCTATTCGATACCAAGCTTTGAAAGTCACGTGAATAATATCTGTAAAACCGCATTTTTCCATCTTAAAAATATATCTAAATTATGTCATATGCTCTCATTGACAAATGCGGAACAATTAGTTCATGCGTTCATGACATCATCAAGGCTAGATTATTGTAATGCTCTACTGAGTGGTTGCCCTGCACGCTTAATAAACAAACTTCAGATAGTCCAAAACGCAGCCGCTCGAGTTCTTACCAGAACCAGGAAGTATTACCTGGTTCTGTCATTGGCCCTGCGTTGGCTCCCTATTAAACATCGTATAGATTTTAAAATATTGCTGATTACTTACAAAGCACTAAATAGTTTAGCTCCGCAGTTCTTAAAGGGTTAGTTCACCCAAAAATGAAAATTAAGTCATTAATTACTCACCCCCATGCTGTACCAACCCCGTAAGACCTTCGTTCGTCTTCGGAACACAAATGAAGATATTTTTGATTAAATTTGAGAGCTGTATAGCTACCACATTGGCTGCCTAAGGGACTGCCTCTTGACGGCCCAGAAAGTCAATGAAGAAACTATATGTTTACTACTATATGTTTATCAAGCGACGCAAATACTTTTTGTGCGAAAAAACAAACAAAAATAACGAGTTTATTCGACTATTTCTTTTCTTCCTTGTAGGCCAGAAACGAGATTTCCTTAGATTTCCACGACGCATGCGCGAGAATTGCGATCTGCTTACACCAGCTTACACTACTTCAGATCGCAATTCTCGCGCATGCGTCGTGGAAATCTAAGGAAATCTCGTTTCTGGCCTACAAGGAAGAAAAGAAATAGTCGAATAAAGTCGTTATTTTTGTTTGTTTTTTCGCACAAAAAGTATTCGCGTCGCTTGATAAACATATAGTTGAGCCACGGTAGTCACTTGGGATATTTAAACATTTTCTTCATTGACTTTCTGGGCCGTCAAGAGGCAGTCCCTTAGGAGCCTATGTGGTAGTTATACAGCTCTCAAATTTAATCAAAAATATCTTCATTTGTGTTCCAAAGACGAACAAAGGTCTTACGGGGTTGGTACAGCATGGGGGTGAGTAATTAATGACTTAATTTTCATTTTTGGGTGAACTAACCCTTTAATCGAGCTCTTAATGCATTACAGTCCTTCACGTCTATTGCGATCTCGAAATTCCCAGTTGATAATACCTAGAATATCAAAATCGACTGCTAATGGTAGATCCTTTTCCTATTTACCACCAAAACTTTGGAACAGTCTTCCTAACATTGTCCGGGAAGCAGACACACTCTGTCAGTTCAAATCTAGACTAAAAACACATCTCTTTAAAGGGTTAGTTCACCCAAAAATGAAAATTAAGTCATTAATTACTCACCCCCATGCTGTACCAACCCCGTAAGACCTTCGTTCGTCTTCGGAACACAAATGAAGATATTTTTGATTAAATTTGAGAGCTGTATAACTACCACATTGGCTCCTAAAGGACTGCCTCTTGACGGCCCAGAAAGTCAATGAAGAAAATGTTTAAATATCCCAAGTGACTACCGTGGCTCAACTATATGTTTATCAAGCGACGCGAATACTTTTTGTGCGAAAAAACAAACAAAAATAACGAGTTTATTCGACTATTTCTTTTCTTCCTTGTAGGCCAGAACGAGACTTCCTTAGATTTCCACGACGCATGCGCGAGATTTGCGATCTGCTCACATCAGCTTACACTACTTCAGATCGCAATTCTCGCGCATGCGTCGTGGAAATCTAAGGAAGTCTCGTTCTGGCCTACAAGGAAGAAAAGAAATAGTCGAATAAACTCGTTATTTTTGTTTGTTTTTTCGCACAAAAAGTATTCGCGTCGCTTGATAAACATATAGTTGAGCCACGGTAGTCACTTGGGATATTTAAACATTTTCTTCATTGACTTTCTGGGCCGTCAAGAGGCAGTCCTTTAGGAGCCAATGTGGTAGTTATACAGCTCTCAAATTTAATCAAAAATATCTTTATTTGTGTTCCGAAGACGAACGAAGGTCTTACGGGGTTGGTACAGCATGGGGGTGAGTAATTAATGACTTAATTTTCATTTTTGGGTGAACTAACCCTTTAACCTTGCATATACATAACACACTATAGACTTCTATAATTCAATGTTAGGCTGCATAGATTAGGTCAGCCAGAACTGGGAACACTTCCCATAAATCCTGATGTACTCATTACATCATAAGAAGGATGGCGTTTACGTTAATATTAGTCTCTCTGTTTGTCCTGAGGTTTACCGCAGTCCGCCGGATCTGTATGCAGCAACAACGCAGTCCTGAAGTGTTACTAATCCCTCCCCAGTGAAGGAATACTTCCCTTTACCTCTGTACAGATAATCATTGTGGGGATAATTCAGGTTCACGTGGCTACACCGAAGCAATACAATTCTGTATTATAAATTTTAAAGGACAACTCCGGCGCAAAATTAACCTTTGGTCTAATTACACATTGCTATCTAGTCAACCGTTTTCTGAGATTTGTTTTCATGATTGCCGAATGTAAATAGTTTTATCTCTAAAAACAGTTAAGCCTATAAAGCTAGTATAATGCTAGTATATGGGGCATAGAGTAATGACAAATAAAAATCGCTTGTTATTACCACTAACAAGGCTCAAAATAGCCCCACACCAACACGACAGCATAACAAGGGTCCCTACATTCAAACCGAAGCATTGAGAACGTTGTTAGTGTCCATAAAGTTTAATAAGAAGATATTTTATACACACAGTCAACTTCGCGAATACAGGAAGAAGCCATCTTTGAAAAAAAAGTCTCTACCAGTCGATCTACGAACGCCGATCCAAGTGCGCTGAACTGTGCAGAATCTCATATGGTCCGTTGTTTCCAGTAGAAACACAAACACAAATAGTTTTCTTCTCTTCAATATGTACACGTAGCCTACTGTTCGCGCTCACTTTATCACCTTATTCACATTTCACCAGCGCACTTGGATCGGCGTTCGTAGATCGACTGGTAGAGACTATTTTTCCAAGATGGCTTCTTGTATTCGCGAAGTTTACTGCGTGTATAAAATATCTTCTTATTAAATTGTTTGGACACTGACAAAGTTCTCAATGCTTCGGTTTGAATGTAGGGACCCTTGTTATGCTGTCGTGTTGGTGTGGGGCTATTTTGAGCCTTGTTAGTGGTAATAACAAGCGATTTTTATTTGTCATTACTCTATGCCCCATATACTAGCGTTATACTAGCGTAATAGGCTAAACTGTTTTTAGAGATAAAACTATTTACATTCGGCAATCATGAAAACAAATCTCAGATAACAGTTGACTAGGTAACAATGTGTAATTAGACTAAAGGTTCATTTTGCGCTGGAGTTGTCCTTTAAGGCCTGACAAGTAGTTTGCTGAGGGTTGTTTTTTTTTTTTTTTTTTTAGGGAAGGACTACATGTCTGTCTATATTCAAACGGTCATACCTATAGAATGAACTCTTAATATGCATGTGCACGCCATCAACTTTCTCACTGGTTCGCATTTTTAAAGTTTGCGTTGAGAGAACTTGATTTTCACCACAGGGGGACTTGATAGATTATATAGAGCTCATTGCTCCTCCACAGTACGAAAACAGGAAGTAAAAGGTATTTACACAAATAAAAAAGGATTATATAAAGCATTTACACAGTATTTAAATGTTTGTCTGAATATTCCTTCACCCAGTAATAGAGAGACCAGCGTTTTCCCCAGGTGTGAGGCAGAAGACTTTACACTGAGGTGTCAGAAAACCCACTGGTTGTGAATAATGCAGAGGCTGTAATTCCCTCTCCTCTTACCCGTGACGGGCTGATGATGTTTATTGGGCAGTCAGCTCTATTCCTGAGGTCACTGTGTCCTGAACCTGCGGGGTGAAGACCAGTTGTGTGTGGGACTTTACACTGCATAAAATCTTACAGACACAACTTACACTGCTCAAAGTGCTCTTACTGCTGGACAGAAATACATTACACATGCTTGTTTTGTTATCCAGTAAAGATAGTAAGACTTGTTTGATGGTTTTTGTAAGAAAAAATGTAAAAAATTAAGGTGTATTTTTTTTTTCCTGGTAGTTCGTTCCATTTGTTTTAAGTTTGCTGTGAGGGATAGACACGCACCTCTTCAGTGGGTTGTACTGTTGGATTGTTCTGCTTACGAAGCACTGCAAAAATATCTTTCTGAGAAATTTCAAAAACCCCAGACAATATGAGCTGTGGAAAATGATAAGAGATCTAGGAGCTTTCTGCAGCTCTTTACAGAGGATGCCATTGTCTTTTCCTCACAGCCTCGCTTTCATACCTGTCATGGCGCTGCTCTGAATAAGATCTATTATACTGTTTTAAAGGTTCCTAATTTCTCCTACAACATGCATCCAAGGCCACTTCATTTCCTCATAATATATTGCAGCATCACTTTTCTCACAGTGTCTGAAATGGTTTGAACAAGGATTCGGTCTCTCTAAAAACCCGCCTTTGCGAGAGCCTGCTCTACTCTGATTGGTCAGATGATTCAGTTTGTTCTGATTGGACTATTCTGCTCTGATTGGTCAGATGGCCCAGTGTGTTGTGATTGGTCTACTCTGCTCTGATTGGTCACATGGCCCAGTCTGTTGTGATTGGTCTACTCTGCTCTGATTGGTCACATGGCCCAGTGTGTTGTGATTGGTCTACTCTGCTCTGATTGGTCAGATGATTCAGTCTGTTGTGATTGGTCTACTCTGCTCTGATTGGTCACATGGCCCAGTCTGTTGTGATTGGTCTATTCTGCTCTGATTGGTCAGATGATTCAGTCTGTTGTGATTGGTCTACTCTGCTCTGATTGGTCAGATGATTTAGTCTGTTGTGATTGGTCTACTCTGCTCTGATTGGTCAGATGGCCAGTCTGTCATGATTGGTCTACTCTGCCCTGATTAGTCAGATGGCTCAGTCCGTTGTGATTGGTCTACTCTGCTCTGATTGGTCAGATGGCTCAGTCTGTTGTGATTGGACTATTCTGCTCTGAGTGGTCAGATGACCCAGTCTGTTGTGATTGGTCTACTCTGCTCTGATTGGTCAGATGATTCAGTTTGTTGTGATTGGACTATTCTGCTCTCTGATTGGTCAGATGGCCCAGTCTGTCGTGATTGGTCTACTCTGCTCTGATTGGTCAGATGACCCAGTCTGTCGTGATTGGTCTACTCTACTCTGATTGGTCAGATGACCCAGTCTGTTGTGATTGGTCTACTCTGCTCTGATTGGTCAGATGACCCAGTCTGTTGTGATTGGTCTACTCTGCTCTGATTGGTCAGATGATTCAGTTTGTTGTGATTGGACTATTCTGCTCTCTGATTGGTCAGATGACCCAGTCTGTTGTGATTGGTCTACTCTGCTCTGCTCTGATTGGTCAGATGGCCCAGTCTGTCGTGATTGGTCTACTCTGCTCTGATTGGTCAGATGGCCCAGTCTGTCATGATTGGTCTACCCTGTTCTGATTGGTCAGATGGCCCAGTCTGTCATGATTGGTCTACTCTGTTCTGATTGGTCAGATGGCCCAGTCCGTCGTGATTGGTCTACTCTGCTCTGATTGGTCAGATGGCCCAGTCTGTCATGATTGGTCTACTCTGTTCTGATTGGTCAGATGGCCCAGTCTGTCGTGATTGGTCTACTCTGCTCTGATTGGTCAGATGGCCCAGTCTGTCATGATTGGTCTACTCTGCTCTGATTGGTCAGATGGCCCAGTCTGTCATGATTGGTCTACCCTGTTCTGATTGGTCAGATGGCCCAGTCTGTCATGATTGGTCTACTGTGCTCTGATTGGTCAGGTGACCCAGTCTGTTGTGATTGGTCTACTCTGCTCTGATTGGTCACACGGCCAAGTCTGTTGTGGTTGGTCTGGCATCAGTTTTACCGCATCAATTCGAGCCCGATTACTCATCCTTTGGAAGTGCGTGCAAAGTGGAAACCTAATAACTCCATTTATCGCACACTTTGCTCGTTGAAACTTTGAAGAAACTTTTACTCCCACAAACAGCTATTTAATTCACTGCGTGAAAGGTAATATCCGAAAAAGAGTTAGAGGGGCACTTGAATCACTAGAACCATTTTACCTATTTCTACAAAACATATATATTTACACAGTAAGCAATTGCACAAAATATTGGTAATGTTTGAATGTGTAATGTGAAACATATGCCTTTTTTTACTTTTTTGTGAGTGTATATTTGATATCCTATAATTTGTGTGTGTGTTATTTTTTAAGTTTAATTCAGTGAAAATATATTTTAAAAAGCAGGAATTACACCCCATATAATTTTGTTGAACACATCAGGGTATTCTGTTGATTCTGTATTTGGGTGCTATTACTTGTTACGTCTTCAGCGTTGTATCCTGGGTTCACTTTTCCTCTGGTTTCATCAGCAACGGACCTCCTCTCACTGCTTAAATTGACAGTCCATGAAGACAAATGCAATACAATAAACAGTAGTTCTTACATACAACACAAGAGTCGGTGGCTACGTTCAGAATGAAACGCCAGAGTAGAGGTCTTCAGGGAACTAGAACCACTGACACTATTGAAACTAGAAGAACTAATGAGAACTTAATTGAGCTGAACTCACTTCATATTTGATGATCTTTAAATTGAACTGAATTGAATCAACACTGAACTGACCTCAGCTGAACAATGGCTCTACTTCGCGGTTATTCGTGTTTATCACTGGAAAGCTGCTTGTATCTGTATTGTATAAAGTGCAGTATAAATTAAGGTGATGACTTATATAACAATATAACAAGAAATATGTATGCAATAGTATGCAATACTGAGCAAAACCAGTTTCTCTCTGCATAGCAGTGTCTGAAATTAATGAAAATCGCTGTATTTCTCTTAAAAATGTCAATTTTTGTCCTGTTTCAAGGCAACTCTTACCTCTCTTACAAGTCTTACCTGAATTTATTTTCAGAGTTCAATTCTGTAAAAGAAAAAAAAAAGAAAACTGGTCACACTTAAACTCCTATGCTTATTAATAGTTAGTAAGGTAGTTGTTAAGTTTAGGTATTGGGTAGGATTAAGGGATGTGGAATATGGTCACGCAAAATAAGTAATATGTTCTTAATAAGGACTAATAAAAAGTCAAAATCCTAGTAATAAGCAATAGCCATTGGTGAGAGTTGGACCCTGAACTAAAGTGTTAACAGAATAACATACATGTACAATAACTTGATATTTCTGGTTCTAGCCTCAGGCAGTCCTGGTAGCAAGCCTGAATAGCATGACATCTTAATAGTTGCATGGTGCAACAAGAGGATAAGAGACTGTAACGAATTTGAGAACCACTGGCCACCGTATACTACAATAACAAATAAAACAACAATGTATGGCTACAAGTGAAATGGGATCAAAATATGGTTTAGACTTATTAATTTGAAAAATCATGCTACATAGTCTTAGGTGCTGTTTACACGACACCGTTTTCAACTAAAAACATAACGTTTTTATGTATTTTTGCTGTTTATTCACACGACAACGGCGTTTTTGGGGCCTGGAAACGCAAACTTTTAAAAACGGGGTTTAAAGTGCGAGTTTTTGAAAACTACAGTTATTGGCTCCGTGTAAATCACAAACACATGAATTTGTGAAAATGGTGATGTCATGCACATGTGTGTTACGTGTTCAGTGTTTCTTTATGTCGCCAACTACTGGCCTGGCAGCAGAATACGGTATTTTTAATCATTTTCACAGATCCCAGTTGAACGGGGATTGTATTGACAACGTTGTCGTCTGTACTTTTCTGTATTTCGTACATTATTGCCATGTAAATGTGCCCTTAGAAACGTTATATAACACCCTACGAAATATAGCCTACTCATAATATTCTCAAAACATTGTTTTTATCATTGCATTCAATTTTTTTTTTCAATATATTGAATGTTGTGTTGTAGTACTCGAGACTCAGACTCGTGTCGGACTCGGTCTCGAGACCATATTTTAATGGTCTTGGTCTTGTCATGGACTCGTGTCCATTTGGACTCGGAATTGACTCGTACTCGAACATTTTTTTTTTTTAGGACTCGGAATTATTCCCGAGTCCACTCGAGTTCAATTAAAAATATTTTTCATGATTATTAATGTATGTTAATAAAATATTTCTTCAAATTGATTGACACACCCAGTGATTGGTGATTTTCTAGTGCGCAACTGCGCATGACAAATTGTAATAAAATTACTTTTAACACCACCTACTATGTGGCCTTTTTACCCTAAACTGATCATATTTTTTAAACTCTAAATAAATTCAGTAAAAAAAAAAAAGTAAATAAAAGTAAATTAGGTAATCAACCCTCACTGGTCTCGGTCTCGACTCGGACTTGACCGTCTCTGGTCTCGGACTCGACTCTCTATGGACTCGGTCTTGACTCGGACTCGACTCTCTCTGGTCTCGGTTTCGACTCGGACTCGAGTGAGGTGGTCTCGACTACAACACTGGTTTTAGTAGTGAAACAAGTTTCATCATCCCCATTTAGAAATCTGTCAGTATTCTTAATGAATATGTAATACCTTGTACAGTTGGTACAGATAAAAAATTTATAAAAGGTGTGAAAGACGTTTTAAAGTACAGAGAGTGTGCTGTAATATATTTTCAATTCACAAGTCTTAATATAATATCTCTCTAAATTAACCACTGATAATGTGTGCTTGACAAATAATGAGCAAAGAAAGATAAAAACAGAGAACATTTCGAACAATTACATTGTTAATAGGTTTTCCATCTTAAACGGTTTATCCATTTTCCTAAATGATGTGTAAGCACTTTGTGTGGCAGGTGAGTGGTGCAGTAAAACCTTTAAACTGCCCTTTACTGCTGACAGCTCAATCTACCACAATGTGTCCTTGCCTTTGCTCCGATTTACGGCGAGCACGGCTAACTTCTCTCTTCATTGGTTTAATAACTTGCAGGAAAGATTTAAAGGGAACTTTTAGGAGAAATGTAAAGTGGATTTGCTTACTTGTCCATTTTTTTCTGTAGCACAAGATGAGGATGAGCGCTGCCAGCAGAAGGATCGTACACACCGATACGATCACGGCAATCACAACTGTGTGGTCCTGTTTAGTTTGCGGTGCCACTGCAAAACACATTTGTACGTTTATGGCTACTTCATTTATATGCACAAACTGACCCAATGCATTCATTTAGTATTTTATAGCTATAAGGATTATATGCAGCCTATACCCACTGTCACTTATATCATATAAACTGTCATATATATAATACACTCACCTAAAGGATTAGTAACACCTGTTCAATTTCTCATTAATGCAATTATCTAATCAACCAATCACATGGCAGTTGCTTTAAAGCATTTAGGGGTGTGGTCCTGATCAAGACAATCTCCTGAACTCCAAACTGAATGTCAGAATGGGAAAGAAAGGGGATTTAAGCAATTTTGAGCGTGGCATGGTTGTTGGTTGCATGGTATTTCACAATCTGCTCAGTTACTGGGATTTTCACACACAACCATTTCTAGGGTTTACAAAGAATGGTGTGAAAAGGGAAAAACATCCAGTATGCGGCAGTCCTGTGGGCGAAAATGCCTTGTTGATGCTAGAAGTCAGAGGAGAATGGGCCGACTGATTCAAGCTGATAGAAGAGCAACTTTGACTGAAATGACCACTCGTTACAACCGAGGTATGCAGCAAAGCATTTGTGAAGCCACAACACGCACAACCTTGAGGCGGATGGGCTACAACAGCAGAAGACCCCACCGGGTACCACTCATCTCCACTACAAATAGGAAAAAGAGGCTACAATTTGCAAGAGCTCGCCAAAATTGGACAGTTGAAGACTGGAAAAATGTTGGCTGGTCTGATGAGTCTCGATTTCTGTTGAGACATTCAGATGGTAGAGTCAGAATTTGGCGTAAACAGAATGAGAACATGGACCCATCATGCCTTGTTACCACTGTGCAGGCTGCTGGTGGTGGTGTAATGGTGTGGGGGATGTTTTCTTGGCACACTTTAGGCCCCTTAGTGGCGTACCTTAGCATTATTTCTGACCATATCCATCCCTTTATGGCCACCATATAGACAGCTATCCTCTGATGGCTACTTCCAGCAGGATAATGCACCATGTCACAAAGCTTGAATCATTTCAAATTGGTTTCTTGAACATGACATTGAGTTGACTGTACTAAAATGGCCGCCACAGTCACCAGATCTCAACCCAATAGAGCATCTTTGGGATGTGGTGGAACGGGAGCTTCGTGTCCTGGATGTGCATCCCACAAATCTCCATCAACTGCAAGATGCTATCCTATCAATATGGGCCAACATTTCTAAAGAATGCTTTCAGCACCTTGTTGAATCAATGCCACGTAGAATTAAGGCAGTTCGGAAGGCGAAAGGGGGTCAAACACAGTATTAGTATGGTGTTCCTAATAATCCTTTAGGTGAGTGTATAACAGTCAACGTAAGACATTTTCCTGGGTCAACATATTTTATTGATCCTGGTACAACAATCCAACCTAACCTTGTCCCTAGCCCTAAACCTAACCCTACCCATAAGTTATCCCTAAAATTAGAGGGAAATGATAGTGAATAACACTGATGTAGAAGCTTGACATAAACTGTAAACTTGTCCTTGAAATCCAATTGGTTGATTGCGAAGTTGATCCAAAAACATGCTACAATACGATTAAATTAAATGAAGTGGGGGGAAAAATCTAAACTTTTTATGATTTTCATATTAATATATCATCCATCTGTCCTACTTTATATTGTCTGTAACTACGATGTACTAACATTTAAATTAACAATTTGATACAATGCATTTATTCCATTTTATTACATGTTTTACACTGTCCTTATATTTAAAAATACCTGCTTATAGTTACAGCTGTAATTAATTTCCACAGTTACTTCAATAATTGCGCTGTTGACCCTTCCTTACACCGTTACCCTCCCTCTTAACCTATGTGCCGAACCTCACCCGTATCCCGCCTCAACCGCGGCACGAGTGTTTTGAAATGCAACATGCAAGATATAATAAGTGCATTGTAAACAAAGTGATGAAGATTGATTTGTTTGCAGGAGGAGCTCACTGATGTCCGATCACTCGTACCTACAGTCAGCTGGACGCTGCTGGTTTGCTGGGCTAAAGCTGCAGACAGAGACGCCACACACTCCACTGCGCCGCTCGCCTCTGCTCTCATCTCCAGCACACTGGTGGAGGTGAACAAGCCGCTGGGGTCCTGAAGACTGCTGGTGTTGTAGTCGCCTCTGTCCACAGCCGTGGCGTTGACCACCCAGGACAGCGAAGGCTTCGGGTACCAGCCGAGCGCTTGGCAATGGAAGGTGACAAGCATTCCTACTTGAACTGACAGGTCACCCTCCAAAATCCTGACATTTCCTTTTTCTAGATTTAAAACGAGACCTTTTGAGTTAAACGTCCTCAAAAAGTTGAGATATCTCAAATAGTACTATCTCATCACAACTGTTAAAGGGTTAGTTCACCGAAAAATGAAACTCACCCTCATGTCCTTTCAAGCCCGTCAGACCTCCGTTCATCTTCAGGACACAGTTTAAGATATTTTAGATTTAGTCCGAGAGTTTTCTGTCCCTCCATTGGAAATGTGTGTACGGTATACTGTCCTTGTCCAGAAAGGTAATAAACACATCATCAAACTAGTCCATGTGACATCAGTGGGTTAGTTACACTGTTTTGAAGCATCGAAAATACATTTTGGTCCAAAGCCATTTTTATTTGAACCCGAATACACGGACACACCAGACACACGTCAACCGCGTCTTACGTCAGCAGCGGCACTGAATGTGGCTCGACAACAGAACTGGAAGACAACACAATGCTGAATAAAGTCGTAGTTTTTGTTATTTTTGGACCAAAATGTATTTTCGATGCTTCAAAACAGTGTAACTAACCCACTGATTTGACATGGACTACTTTAATGATGTCTTTATTTCCTTTCTGGACAAGGACAGTATACCGTACACACATTTCCAATGGAGGGACAGAAAGCTCTCGGACTAAAACTAAAATATCTTAAACTGTGTCCTGAAGATGAACGGAACGGGGTGAGTCATTCATTAATGACATAATTTTCATTTTTCGGTGAACTAACCCTTTAATAACATACAGTATATCAATTTCATTGCATTAATTGCCAAAACATACAGACACGCACCAGCAAAAGTCTGTAAAAATGGGGTTCCCTGATTATATGAAGGGTTTTTTCATACAGATTCCGCTTTGATTGATTTCCGTATGAGTTTTACACGTATTTTTAATTAAGCTGTGCATTGTGTTTTTAAGTAAAAGATAGATACATTTATTTTACAGTGTACATGTTACATGTAGTTATAACTAGAAATTATGCATAATTACATGCAACTGACCCTAAACCAAACCCTAACCCTAATAAATACGTCATGCAGTTACTTAATATTACTCAGTACTTAAATGTATTATTACAGTGTAATAAAGACACCAATAAACACAAAAACCTTTTATCATTTAACACTGTAAAGCCTGACATATGAAAAAATAGTCCGAAAAAAAAACGAGCAGAAAAGCAAACTACTTATGAAAAATGCATAAAAATATATATATTGTATACTAATATGAGCAGTTTTATGTTCTGTAGTTTTACTTTTGGGGGACAACACATAAAATGCAACACAAAATGATTATTGTACAAATACACATTTCTCAAAAGCGTGCTCCGATTTGATTCGCACATTGAGTAAGTGTTTATCTTGAAATATTACTAACAATATAACAGTTATTCTTATGTTCACCTTTTAGAAATCATTAAAGATTTCACAGCAAACACACATGGGAACCAAGAGCTGAAGGTGATGTTTGAACAATTATACTAAAAGGCTGTTTATTAGCTAACAATTCTAAACTATCAATCAGACGACAGAAGGCGTGTAGAGGAATGTGTCTAACAGTTTTTTTTAGCAAAGTTTTGATCATTTATATGTAATATTATATAGTCTAAAAACGGTTAAACAACAATTTTGTGTGTGTGTGTGTGTGTGTGAAACGTTTTACTTGAAAAGCATGCATGCCTTTTCTTTTGAATTAATGTCACTTGGTATTCTATTTGATAAAACATCGCAAAGACGTTTATACATTTTAAGTGTGGCTTAGGAGTTTAAATACCTTTTGAGGCCACTTTATATGTGTTTCTCTTCCACTTTCCACGATTTTTAAATGATTGATGGTTCATAATTGACTAGTTGATGTGACTGGTAAATGTGTGACAGCTAAATTGTCTCTTTTTAAAGAACACATTATGGGCTTTTTATTCCTCCTGCAAAAGAGAAACAAAAGGTAAAGCAGTGAATTATTATAGACAGCTAATTGAAACTTTCGCTTTAGTGAACTGCATGGCCACAGAAATTGATTTGTGAAGGTTTCACTGAGTTAGGCTAGTGATTGTCTTATACTGTACCTCATAAGTCATGTCATGGACCTAGAGACTTTGTCTATATATATATACAAATGGCCCTTTAACTAACACACAATGTGATTATGGTTAAAAAAGTGATTGCTTTTATAATGAAAAGACATAGTTTTGAAATTAGATTTAAACACAAGATTTTTACATGTTTGTATGATATAAATGCAAACTCACTACTAGGATGTTTTGAGAATTTCTAAGGTTCTTGTGGGGTATTTGCCACATCGCTAGGGCGTTGCTAGGGTGTTCTGGGCAATTGCTAGGTAGTCCTATAACCAAAAGAGCTCACCATCAACAAAGTCTGATCATAATAGCATCAATACATTAGATGATTTGAGGGATCAGTACTTTAAAACTACACTTTAAAATCTTAAATCTCAAATGTCTAATCATTTAACAATTATGTAATATTTATCTTGTTTGCCATAAGACACAGCAGTTTTCTGAATGTAAGAATATAAAACGCACCATAAAAAGATAAAATCATAAACACAATAAATTTAAAAATTGCACTGTACTTTAAATTTCAAAGTTCAGAATCCGCGTGAGGAACTGAAAAGTCAACATCAGTAACCGGTGGCCGGTTACAGTTTTATGAATTCTAACCATACAATGTGTAAGAACATGAATGTGAACAAACGTGAATGACGTGCCAGAGCTACAGTATATCATCACGAAAGTTTAAACCTTGCCAACTTAAACATTCAAGTATTCATGAAAGGGAACTAAATTCATTACTCGCACACTGTGAGGGAAGTTTAAACAGAGAGCGCACAGATACTAAATTGAGTTGTCTTTCACATATTCTTGTGCTTGAACGGACAAATTCACAAAAAATATGTAAAAAAAATGCCCATGTCTGCGAGTATCCTAGTAAACATTTTCAGTTACGTCACATGTGTAATGAATGCATCAGTTTATTGGATCCATACATTCAGTCTTAAAGTGACAGCAGCCTAATATACCTGCTGCTGTCTGCATTTTTTATGTTAAAAAATACTCACTGCTCTTGAATAACTTTTGAAACTTTAATATGGATTAACCATTGTTAAATTATACAGTGAAGACTGCAGTGTTATTTTACATTTGATTAGCCTACTTTATAAAATAGTGCTGTAGCGGCGCGTCGATGACGTCGATGCTTCGACGTCAAAATTGCGTCAACGTCATATTTTTGCGTCGACGCTTCTTTATTTATTTATTTTTTGCATGTTCCCGGCGGTCCAGCTTGCCACACACACGTGGAAGACCGAAACATTGCGGAATAGAGGACGAAGACAACTAGAAGTGAATGTGCTATCCATTAAATGAATCACACACAGTAAACAAACCCTTAAAAAAAAAAAAACGTTGCAATTTAGACGCGCAAACTGGGTGCCGGTGTGGTGAGACGTACAAGCTCGGGCAGATTCGGCTTGAAGTCGTTCATCCCGGACGCGGCACCGCACGCGCTGTTACAAAAAAGGCGTACACAGCCACAGTCTTCCTGGTCTTGCGCACCCAACGCGTCATTTTTGCCGCACGCACATTCGCGCTCGTGCGGACGTGTCGAGTATAAACAAGGCTTTACTCCGTGTCAGCACACTCTGATCAGTAGGTGCACAAACCTCTCCCGATTCATCTCCAGCAGTAGCAGCCTCCGATCGCACCACTAACTCCGCCTCCGTTTCCCTCCTCAGCTGATATTAATATTTAAACATTCTCTATGATAAAAAACTGTTTGTAAAAAAAAAAAATATTTTAATAACACGGTTTTGGTGGTTGTAGAGTTATAATGATGGTGTTCAAATAGATAACATTAGACTAACGTTAGCCAGCTTATAGTATCTCAGTATGCTAGTATTTATTTGAGATACATTGTTTTTTTTATTAATTGAGCAGCAGAAAAATATTCTTTATATTAGTCGTCCAATTAGTCATTAGATTAGTCGACTAATCGATAAAATAATCGCCCAACTAATCGTTTAGTTAATAATCGTTTACCCCAGCCCTATTATAAAATATCTATACCTGAAAATTGTAAAATTTTCACTGGTAGCCTATCCTAAAGGTTGGTGTCATAACTGCCTGTTCCCTTTCAAACGCTAATTGAAGCGCTATGGGAAAACGTCTTCTGATGACATCATCTTCAGAGGTTATTTAAGCCAAATTATTATTATTGTTTGCCACACACGCTCACAACTGGTCGAACTGATATGTTTTTAAATCAAGCACAGGATCTCGTTCCCGATTTTTCAGGGAACAGGGCTACCAGCCCGTTCCCATCCCAAGGCGTCATATACTGACGCTTTTGACAATGCGTATACATCCAACCAGTGTTGTAGTCGAGACCACCTCACTCGAGTCCGAGTCGACACCGAGACCAGAGAGAGTCGAGTGCGAGTCAAGACCGAGTCCATAGAGAGTCGAGTCCGAGACCAGAGACGGTCGAGTCCGAGTCGAGACCGAGACCAGTGAGGGTTGATTACCTAATTTACTTTTATTTACTTAGAGAAATCCTTTTTTTTTTTTTTACTGAATTTACTTAGAGTTGAAAAAATATGATCAGTTTAGGGTAAAACGGCCACATAGTAGGTGGTGTTAAAAGTAATTTTATTACAATTTGTCATGCGCAGTTGCGCACTAGAAAATCACCAATCACTGGGCGTGTCAATCAATTTAAAGAAATATTTTATTCACATACATTAATAATCATGAAAAATATTTTTAATTGAACTCGAGTGGACTCGGGAATAATTCCGAGTCCTAAAAAAAAAAATGTTCGAGTACGAGTCAATTCCGAGTCCAAATGGACACGAGTCCATGACAAGACCAAGACCATTAAAATATGGTCTCGAAACCGAGTCCGAGACGAGTCCGAGTCTCGAGTACTACAACACTGCATCCAACGCACATGGCACCCTTTAGCGTCACTATGAGACGCAGATAA